CAGAGTTCAGAGCCTAGGGTTTAGGGTTTAGGGTTTAGGGTTTAAAGGGTCTGGGGCTTAGTGCTTCGGGTTAAGGTACAGCCCCCCAGAGATGGTGGATGCAGGGGGGCCAACTGCTGCGCTGCTTCTGCTGCTGCTGCTGCTGCTGTTGCTGTTGCTGCAGCAGACAACTCTCCAGACCTGGCAGCACGGCTTCTAGAGGGCACTGCGGCGACAGGACATTTGCTGCTGCAGCAGAAGCTGCAGCAGCAGCTGCCTCGCAGCGGAGCGGCATTTTCTGCTGATGCTGCTGTTCCCGCTGCAGCAGCAGGTGCAGCCCACCAGCTGCAGCAGCTGCAGCAGCTGAAGCAGCAGCAGCAACAGCAGCTGCAGCAGTTGAAGCAGCAGCAGCAGCAGCAGCAGGCTTCATTGCTGAGTTTGCAGCAGCAAGCCGCTGCTGCAGCTGCTGCAGCTGCGCAGCAGCAGCAGCAGCATCAAATGGGTCAAGGGACAACAACAGCTCCGAGCGCAGCAGCAGCAGCAGCAGACGCGAGGAGTCTGCTGCTGGACCAGCCCGGCAGCAGAGCAGCAGTCTTGCTTGCTGCGTTGCAGAAGCAAACGCTGCAGCAGCAGCAGCAGCAAGACAGCCTAGCACCGCATGCAGCTGCATCACGTTCGGGTAAGCTTTCGCTGAAGCAGCAGCAGCTTTTGCTTCCTGAGTGCCCTGGCCCCTGCTGCTGCTGCTGCTGTTTCTATTGCTGCTGCTGCAGTTGCTGCTTCGCTCTCTGGTGACACTTCCTGTGCTGTTGCTGCTGTAGTTGCTAGTGCTCTATTTTGAGGCCGGTCGATCATGTGCTGCTGCTGCTGCTGTTGCTGTTGCTGTTGCTGTTGCTGTTGCTGTTGCAGCTGCTCTTTACTTGAACGCGTTGCTGCCGCAGCAGGGAGCAGCAAATCGGCAGCAGCAGGAGCAGCGTGCTGCGCGGCTGCTGCAGATGCAGCAGCAGGCTGTGGCGGCCGCCGCAGTGGCTTCTTCGTACAAGCTGCAGCAGCTGCAGCAGCTGCAGCTGCTGCAGCAGCTGCAGCAGAAGCAGCAGCAGCTGCAGCAGCAGCATGTGAGCGAGAGCGGGGGACCTTCTGCTGCTGCCTCGCCCTCTTCAGCCCCAAAGACACAGCCAAGCTCAATTTCAGAGCCAGCAGCAGCAGCAGCAGCACCAGCAGCAGCGCAAGCAACGGCTTTACACCTGCAGCAGCAGCAGCAGCAGCAGGCGCAGGGGGCCCCTGTTGCAGCAGTGGACAACTGGGTGCAGGTACGCCGCGTTAGGAAGGATGGCTGTAGCAGCAGCAGCAGCTGCTGCTGCTGCTGCTGCACTTGCTGCTGCTGCTGCTGCGTTTCTTTCGGAGTCTGCTGTAGGGTCTTCTTCCTTTGCCTCTATTTTTCCTCTTGCTGCTTTTGCTGCTGCTGCTTTACATCTGTCTCTGCGAGTGCATTGGCTAGCTAGCCAGCCATGTGGCTAGCTAGTCGCTGGCTAGCTAGCCATCTAGTGACTAGACAGCTAGCTAGCTAGCTACCCAGCTAATGGCTAGCTAGCTAGCTAGCTAATGGCTGGCTAGCTAGCTAGCTAGCTAGCTAGTGGCTGGCTAGCTAGGCAGCCAGTGGCTAGCTAGCTGGCTAGCTAAGTGGCTGGTGCATGCACAGAGAGGGGCTATAGGGTTTTGAGGACCAAAAATAGATTGGAAGAAGCAAACGAGAAGCAGCAAAGAGCTGCTGCTTCTTATCTGCTGCTGCTGCTGCTGCTGCTGCTGCTGCTGCTGCTGCTGCGTGCAGTGCGAAGCGTGCAAGAAGTGGCGGCGGCTGCCTGTGGGGATCGATCCCGAGACGCTCCCAGAGACTTGGCTGTGTTCGATGATGTATTGGGACAGCAGCAGCAGCAGCTGCGCAGCTCCTGAGGAGGACTACAGGGAGGAGCAGCAGCAGCAGCAGCAGCAGCAGCAGGTGCAGCTGCAGCTGCTGCAGGGGTCCGGCTTTGACGGCCTCGCGAGAGACTTCGACGAGGCGGAGCCCGAGTGCTTCAGCCACCAGCAGGAGCACCAGCAGCTGCAGCAGCAGCAGCAGCAGCAGCAGCTCGCTGCAGCAGCAACTGCCACGGCCACGGGCGCCACCAGGAGGCGCACCAGGAGCTCCTTCGTTGCTGCTGCTGCTGCTGCAGCAGCAGCAGCAGCAGCAGGAGCAGCAGGTGAGGCTAAGAGCGCCAGTGACTCCAGCATCAGGAGTGTGCACAGCTAGCTTCTGCAGCAGTTACTGCTGCCGCTTATGCTGCTGTTGACACTGCTGCTGCTGCTTCTGCCGCTGCTGCTTCTGCTGCTGCTGCTTCTGCTGCTGCAGCTTCTGCTGCTGCAGTTAGACTTGTGGCTGGTCCTCCTTGGGCTGGTGCTTGTTAGTAGTGCATGCATGCTGTTTCCGCTATGCTGCTGCTGCTACTTTGCTGCTGCTGCTGCTGCGTTGCTGCAGGGATGGACTACAATGTGTCTCCTGGGGGATACTGTTCTGCTGCTTCTGCGTCTCTGCCTTCCTCTTTGCCGCATCTGCCGCCGCATCTGCAGCAGCAGCAGCTGCAGCTGTTGCAGCAGCAGCAGTTCAACGCGACGCAGCGAGCAGCAGCAGCAGCAGCAACGGGAGACTGCCGACACCTTGCTGCCAACTTGGAAGGGACCTTCTGCAGCCAGCAGCACCCCGGAGCAGCAACAGCAGCAGTTGCTGCTGCTGATCTAGCAGCAGCAGCAGCCATACCCCCAGGGGCATCCGAACTAGTAAGCTAGAGCACGTGCAGCAGCAGCAGCAGCAGCAGGGGCAGCAACACCAGGGGCAGCAGCAGCTGCAGCAGGAGCCCACTGGCCTTCTGTTTCGCTCTATTAAATGTTTGTAATGAGTGGCTGCTGCTGCTGCTGCTGCTGCAGGCTGTCACGCTGCTGCGGGCGCCACTGAGCAGCAGCAAATATCATCCTGTGTCAGACCGGCTGCTTGTGTCTTGCCCGGACGGTAAGCTTCAAGCCCTAAACCCTAAACCCTAAATCCTAAACCCTACTTCATAGGAAGTCGCCTTGTACGCCTCGGGCTGCTGCTGGTAGCAGCAGCTACTCGCTTTGCTGCAGCTGCTGCTGCAGCATCCACTGCCCTTATCTCTGCCGCAGCGGCTGCTCTGCTAACGGCTTCAACTCGCGCTGCTGCTGCTGCTGCTGCTGCTGCTGCAGGGGGGACTACGAGTTGCTGGGCAGCAGAGCTGCAGCAAGACGTGGTCCACTTGCGGCTGTTTGATGTGCTACGGATGGCTTCTGCTGCCCGCCGTGGGGCCGTGAACAGCAGCAGCAGCAGCAGCAGTGCAGCTGAGGACGGCGCTGCTGCTGCTGCAGGGGGCGGCTGCAGCGGGAGCTACTACGAGATGGAGGGCCAGCAGCAGGGGCCGGGAGACAGCCTGGGCAGCAGCAGACAAGCCCCCCGTGCTGCTGCTGCTGCTGCTGCTAACCCAGACGCATGCGTGCAGGTCGACTTTGCGCATGCTGTCAAGTGGCCAGGCCTGGAGTCTTTAAGTGCTGCTGAGGAGGAAGATGACTTGCCCTGCGAATCAGTGTCCTGCAGCAGCAGCGAGGACGAAGCAGCAGCAGCAGCAGCAGCAGCGCCGGCAGTAGCAGCGGGGCGAGAGGCTGCAGCCCCCGCAGCAGCAGCGAAGGCAGCAGCAGCAGAGTGCCCCAACCGCTGCCTCGTCATTGCCCAGAATCCCGCAAGCCCTGCTGCATTTGCTGTTGCTGCTGCTGCGCTGCAGCCGCGGGAGCTGCAGCAGGTTGCTGCTTCTCTTACGGAGCAGCTGCAGCAGTGCTGCCCTGTGCTGCAGGGCAAAATTCCTTATAAGGTTTTGAAGACTTACAGGCGCATGCAGCGGGGACCCCTGGGCATGTACGGGCAGGAGCAGCAGCAGCAGCAGGAACGGCTGCAGCAGCGGATGCTCGAGGAGCAGCAGATGCTGCTGCAGCAGCAGCTGGACCAGCAAAAGCGCCTCGTGGCAGCAGCAGCACACCCTGTCTACCAAGTTTTGGATATCCGCGAGCTGCTGGGTGCCGTGTGTCTTGCAGACCCATCAATGAAGCCGCAGCAGCAGCAGCAGCAGCAGCACCAGCAGCAGCATATACGCAAGTTTGCCCCCCCTGATGACGTGGCCCCCAGCAGCAAACGTCCACGAAGAGCAGCAGCAGCAACTGCTGCCGCTGCCTACGCTCCTGACGCTCTCGAGGAAGCTGCTGCTGCTGCAGCAGATACCGCGCAGTCTGAAGCAGCAGCGGCTGACGTTGCTGCTGCAGCGACTGTTGCTGCTGCAGCAGACATCGTTGCTGCAGCGCAGAACCTTGCTGCTACTGCTGCTGATGCACAGACAGCGACAGCCAAGAGGGAGGCAACGGAGCAAATTTTATCCGCAGCAGCTGCAGCGGAAGCAGCAGCAGCAGCAGCTGCTGCTGCTGCTGCTGCTGCGACGGATATCAGCTGCAGCAGCAGCAAGGACGGCGCTGAAGCAGAACAGTCGCCTAGAGAAGGAGGTGATGTCCCTTCTCTGGCTAGCGGTGTTGCAGTAGCAGAGCAGCAGCAGCAGCAGCTGTTGCTGCTGCCTCTGCGGCGTGGGCAGCAGGAAGGAGTTGCTGCAGCACAGGATGGCCAGCTGGGTGCAGGTGCTGCAGAAGCAGCAGCCGCAGCAGCTACCGCAGAAGCAGCAGCAGCTGCTGAAGTTGACGCAGCAGCTGTTGCTGTCGAAGAATATATAGACACAACCAGTGGCCCGGGCCCACTGGTCACTGCAGCAGCAGCAGCTGCTGCTGCTGCTGCAGCGGAAGCAGAACCAGAAGCAGCACCCGGAGCAGCAGCTACTTCTCCTAAGGGAGAATTATTGACGGCGGGCGTGGAGCAGCAGGATTTGGAGGAAGAAGCAGCAGCAGCTGAGACAGCAGCCGCAGCTGAGACAGCAGCAGCAGCTGAGTCAGCAGCAGCAGCTGAGACAGCAGCAGCAGCAGCAGAAGCAGAGGTAGAACCAGCAACACCAACACAGAGACGGGAAAGAGCAACAGAAACGGATGAGCAGGAAACATCAGCTAGCCAAATTGTGTCAGCAGCAGAAGCAACAACTGCAGCAGCAGCAGCAGCAGCAGTACAGTCGGCAGCAGCAGCAACGGAAGAGGCAGCAGACAGGGCGAATGAGGATGTGGTAGCGGCAGCAGCCGCGACTGCAGCAGCTGCAACAGCAACAGCAGAGTCTGAGGCGGCAGACGCAGCTGCTGCGGCAGCACCAGAAGAAGCAGCTTCTGCACCTCCGCATGCGGCAGCAGAAGACCCAGCAGCAGCAGCAGAAGGCCTTGCGGCAGCAGCAGTGGAGGGGACAGCAGCAGTGGCAGACGAAGAGGCAGCAGCAGCAACAGACGCGGCACTGACAGCAGCAGAAGCAGCAGAGGCTCGAGAGCCCGCCGTGTCTACAGCAACAAGCACTGCAGCAAGAAGAGCCGCAGCAGCAACTGCGGGCAAGGCAGAGCCGGCGTTAGCAGCAGCAGCAGCAGCGACAACGGCTTCACCAGCACCTAGCCACACAGCAGCAAAACCAGCAGCAGCCGCAGCAGCAGCAGCAGAGGAAGATGACGACGATGATGGAAGAGACCCCTGGGCCCCTCTGTCTTCTCCGCTGCGGGAAGAGCTGCCTATCAGTAGGCGCAACAGCAGCAGAACATCCCTTAGTGACAGCAGCAGCAGCAGAAGCAGAAGCAGCAGCAGCAGCAGCAGCAGCAG